GGTCTAGATTGGCAAGATTTTGCGCAAAAGCAACGGGAGCAGCATAGCATTTCCGCAAGAACACTGACAATCTTACATGAGATCTGGCAGTTGCTTTTGTGGAAAAACTTGCCAATCTAGACACAGCCAGGCAGATTTGACTGCATATACCTGCATATACAAACATACCATGTTCTACCTGTATGCTCATGATTTATAGCAGTTTTTCTAAATGCTTGGAGTAGAAACAGTGGCTGATCCTAGAGACCAGATTTCTAATTGACAGCAGTCTCTGACATGAAAGTCCTCTGCATCCTCTCCTTAAACATATCCCTTCAAATGTGGCTTTTTCTTTCTTTCAGGTCATACTGAGAAATGGAAACTCTCCAGACAGCCCCACCAATAAATAAAATGCAGCACAAAGGGGAACCCCAGCACAGATGGGTGGATTTTCCCCCCCCCTTCTTTACCTTGGAACAAGAGCAGTGAGTCCACTAGGTAGCATTGTGAAATATAAGAATCACCCAGCAGCTTCATTACTGTTCCAATGCAGGGAGTTCCTGTAATCACTGTTGGAGGTGAAAGAAAGGTCATAGTAAGATTTGAAGCACAAGTGACTGTAGGCAAATGGGAAGTATGTTCCCTAGGATTATGTTTGTGATTTGTTGCTGGCAACAGCTGGAGAGCAGGGGTGGGGACAAGGTGATGGAAGTTTGGAGTCCACCAGATTTTCTTTTTTGATGGAGTAACCATAAAAACACAGGCCTTCTGTCACACCTGTCCCTTGTAAATCTCACCACGCTTTTACAAACAGAAATTAATCAGACCTCATGACTGCTTCCACAAATTAGGCATCCTTATTACCATTTCCTAAATGGGGACTGCGAGGAGGTTCACTCACCACTGTAGCAGGGGTCTGCCATCTGTCTCCAGAATCAGCTCCTTCAGCTGGTGGGGTTTCCCCTCCTTCCTCCAGGCCACATCATCCTCTTCACCACACTGCCCTCCGGCAGTGCCCAAGTCAGTCTCTGAGCCCCCCTTCCAGGGGTTGTTGTTTCTCCACCAGGCCATTATGCAGGCCCTGCAATCTGGGGGCTTGTTTGGCTAGAGCTCCCCTAGCCTAGCCCTAACTGCAGGGAGCCTCCTGCTTCCCCAACAGCCAGGCTCTTACTGGCCTTCCCTGGGAACAGCCGCCCATGCTCTTATATAGCTCCCAGCTGGGCCCTAATCCACTAAGGCAGCCCCAGCTGGGGCTAAACTCCCCAGCCCAGCTTCCGGCTGGGGTTTGCCCTTAAAGGGCCAGTGCAGGGCGAACGCCCTGTCACAGGGACACTGAAGCACAATATGATTAAGTGACTCAACAAGGTTCACACACTGAATTGGTAGCAGAGTCAAGAAGAGACGCCTCCTGAGCTCCTGACTGCCACTGTGGTGACCTCCTGGGCCAAGTGGCCCCCCAGCCTCCTGTTAAAATAATTATTGGGGTAAGTGAAACATGTTGGGGAGGGTGTTTTGTGGGGTGCTGCTCTGATGGGATAAAGCCTTCTTAAGGGTTTGTGGGGAAGGGGAGAAAGTCCCTGCACAGGGCCATGGGTGGACTTATCCGTCCCCTCTCCCCACAAGTAAAGTATATGCTGCGCGATGCCACCTGGGCTGTGTCTAGACTGGCAAGTTTTTCCGCAAAATCAGCTGCTTTTGCGGAAAAACTTGCCAGGTGTCTACACTGGCCCCTTGAATTTCCGCAAGAACACTGACGTCCTACTGTAAGAAATCAGCGCTTCTTGCGGAAATACTGTGCTGCTCCCATTCAGGCAAAAGCCCTCTTGCGCAAATCATTTGTGCAAGAGGGCTAGTGTAGACAGCACAGTACTGTTTTGCGCAAAAAAGCCCCGATTGCTAAAATGGCGATCGGGGCTTTTTTGCGCAAAAGCGCGTCTAGATTGGTACGGACACTTTTCCACAAAAAGTGCTTTTGCGGAAAAGCATCCTGCCAATCTAGACGCTCTTTTCCGCAAATGCTTTTAACAGAAAACTTTTCCGTTAAAAGCATTTGTGGAAAATCCTGCCAGTCTAGACATAGCCCTGGTGAACTCAAAAGGCAAACATTTCATTTGCCCCAACCCCTTCTGGATTGATTATACAATGCTTGCAGCGCCCGGTGTCTCGAAGGACAGCACTGTGAAACAAGACTTCCAAGGTGGAATCGAATTGGCTGGAGGCTAATCAATATGTAGATTAATGCACTGGGTACTAGCCCATTGGTGAATGGCTAATAACTACGCAGATTTAATTGGTGTGACGCTTTCCCTATTCGCTAGAGCTTCACATTTGGAGCTTCCCTATTAGTTGGAGGCTATGGCATATATGAATGGGGGGGCTCTGCTTTCGTTCCCATTGGTTGGAAGGTAATAAATATGCAGATTAGTCGACTCTGGATGCCTTCCAGTTGGCTGAAGCCGTATGAATATGTAGATTGCTGGTCTCCCCCGGCTGCTCCATTGGCCGTGCCTGGGTGACGGAGGCGTCTGGCTGCTGCAGTCTTTCCCGGGTCAGCGGAGGGGGGTGGACGGGGCAGCTCTGCTCGGAGCTGGAGGCTCCTGGGTCGATGGCTGGATGGTTATGGGGCCAGGCAGCCTCCCCCCGGCGGCTGTAGAGCGGCTTCGGGGACCGCGCATGGGGCTGCTGGTGTCCGTGTGCCTGGCCCCGCCGTGTGCAGGTAGCGGGGGCGGATGGACCGAGCAGGGACCGGGGCTCGTGTGTGGGACGCTGGGCAGACCTGGGCCGGGAGCCGGACTGGGGCAGGTGGAGGACGGAACGAGGGACCCGGACTGCGGTATCTGGGTCGATGGATCCGGGATGCTGGGGGGAGCGGGGAGGAGCTGGCCTGGCTGCTGGAAACTGGAGGGAAGCGGAGCTGGGAGGAGGGCGGTCGGGACTGGAAGGGACCGGGGCTCGTGTGTGGGACGCTGGGCAGACCTGGGCCGGGAGCCGGACTGGGGCAGGTGGAGGACGGAACGAGGGACCCGGACTGCGGTATCTGGGTCGATGGATCCGGGATGCTGGGGGGAGCGGGGAGGAGCTGGCCTGGCTGCTGGAAACTGGAGGGAAGCGGAGCTGGGAGGAGGGCGGTCGGGACTGGAATGGAAACGCGGGGAAGAGGTTTTTTTGGGGGGGTCATCTGGAGGTCGGCTGGGAGTGTTAAAGGGGGGGCTGGGAGTGTCCAAGCAGGTGTCTCTTTTGGGGGGCTGCAGAGAGCCCCAGAGCAATCGCCTCGGCTGAGGGGCCCCTGGGGTGAGGATGAGGAGTCTCAGACAGATGCCTCTTTTGGGGGCCCGTCTGTGGTGGCATGCCTGGAAGGGGAGACGCAGAGCACATGCCATATCGGGGGCAGGAAGGGAGGCTCCAAGGTGTGTCTGAGCTGGAGACTCCTCTGGGGAGTGTGCTGAGAAGGGGCCTGGATGCCCACCGTGGTTGGGACCTCCTGGGGTGTGCGTGTTGTGGGGGTGGACGAGCCTTTTCTGGGAGGTTTGTTTTTCTACGAGGAGCGAATGTGCAGCTCCTGCCAAAGCAAACAAGGCGGCTGCCTGGAGTACAGAGGCGCCTTTCTGCTCCCCGTGCTGGCCAGTCAGGGACAGCAGCCCAAGGAGGGCTGGGACAGCTCCTTCTCCATCCCCTGGACTGGTGACTCCTGTCCTCTCCATTGCCTGCTTCTCCAGACCCAAGGCATGAAGCAACAGACCCTGTGCGGGGCTTTTTGTCCACCTGGGGGGTAGGGCCTTTCCCACCCCTGCTTCTGTGTCCACAGGCATGTAAGCACTGCCATTCCTGGTGCGCAGCAAAATAATCCTGCGGTCCCAGGGGTTTCCTGCTTGCTGCTGATGAAATGCATTCCAGCAGGTAGAGGGTTTGTGCAAGACACTCTTGCATCCTGTGTGAAGAATGATGTGGAAGTAGGGCTGGGGGCCTGAGCTTCCTTTGAGCCCTCCACCCTACAGTGAATTTACCCCTCAAAGTGTGTGTGTGTGTGTGTGTGAGAAATATGTTCTTAGCATCACTAAGGTACAGTGGCTTCTACTATCTAAGACACTTGTAGTTTTAACAGACTTAAACTATTTCATCAGTCACTGTAACTATGAAAATCCAAGTTAATTGAAGTTCAGTTTTTCTCTTTAGTATTGGTTTTTAAACCCCAAACTGCACATGAGTCTGAGGTGAGCCTTTAAAATGCAATTAAGAGTGCTGGTGTGAGGAGTCTGGGAGGGGGGGGGGAAGAGGGGGAAAGGAAATGCTATGCATGACTCACTTTCCCTTGTAGCAGATCTCACATGTCTTTCTGAGCATTTAGGAGGGTGGATGATTATCCCTATTTTACAGATTGAGGCAAAAGTGAAAAATATCAAGTAGGCACTAATTTGGGGTGCAGCAGTTCTTGGGTGTCTGACTTCTGAGGTGCTATTACTGAGTTCACTGGAAGTTATGGGTGCTCCACAGGCTCTAACTGGACATCCAAAATGAATGATTTTTGAAAACTTCAACCTGTGTTGATTTTTTTTCCCAAGAGCAGACAAGATTGTGGCTCAATTTGGACTAGAACCCAGGATTTTAACTCCCAGGCTCCACCCATAGTTTATTATTCTAATTGCCAAGAAGCCTAGTTATAGAAAGTAACGTTTCCTCTCTCCCCTGAGTTGGGAGAGTGAGCTGTTGTGTGCCTTAATGTAAAACCTGGCTAAATCTGTGACAGTCGTACATTCCCACATGGCAGTAACATGCTTTCAAGGTGGTGGATATTGTGTGTTTAAACTCTGCATTAATCAGTAGAGATTTGCATGCTGGGTCTAAAATTGGTGCATTGCTGATATCTGCCTCCAGGGAAGATACTGAATGCATTTAATAACACACGTGCTTTGTCTTGTAACATCTGAATGCTGGTTGATGGTAGCAAGCAGTGTAGCATTGTGTGTATGTTATGTTCTTGTATGCACAAGGTGCTGTGGTATTTCTGAATGTATGCCAGATGAATAGCTGTCTTGCAGATTTATATCCCCTACTTTGTGTCACATCAGTATCAAATAGCCTTTCAAAATTCTGTTCACTTGCAGGGTGAAACTTTATTTTTAATAGCAAATAAATCAATTTTTGTCTTCATAATGGCAAAAGCAGGCAGTGGAGTTTTGCCATATTCGTATAGCATGTAAATTTAAAGCGAAGACAAGTCATTGCACTGACTGATACTTACGTACGTTGTTTTGTCATATCCACATGATATACAGCAGTTATTTTTCTACAAAAGTAGCTCCACTTCTTAACTTTCAGTCTATTAAAATTCTATAGCTGTGGCAGGGTTTTTTGCTCTGTCCCACCTGAGAGGGAGATTTATTTAATGTAAATCACAAACAAATGATTCTGGCAGAACTGCTCACTTAACTTTTGACTTTGTGCTTTCCTGTCTCAGAGTAGTGTGATGGCTGTGTTTGGAATAGTGCTTTGGAGATAGAATGCTGTCTTAAGTGCAAAGCCATACACGCATTGATGGGTCACGACAGTCAAGTAGGTAGCATCAATAAAGCTGTCATGAAGAGTTTGACCTCTGTGTTTTCTCTGCCTATAGAACTTCTGTTTTAAGCCCCTAGGTAGGAGCCTTTATTGCCATGTAGTGAGGAGGAAAAATACTTCTTTATATGACTAGTGCTTAGGGCAGACCAAAGATCTCTAGTTGCTAATTAGTAGGCAGATCATTGACACCAATTAAATACCTCACTGTTGATCAGAATGACCATCTCTCCTTGCAGTGCATTGCCAGCAGTGCCAAATTCAGCGCTGCAATGCTGATTACGTGGCTGCTACATCTCCTAACCATGCTTTGCCGGAGGAGACACCGCTGGATGTGGACTATTGCATTGCTTTGCGGGCGTACTCGGTGTGCACCAGAAAGACAGCAAAATCCTGCCGGGGAGACTTGGTGTATCATTCGGCCGTGTTCAGGATCAAGGAACTCTTTACACAGTATAACTGCTCCAGTGACGGGCCAACTTCCTCTGCGAAAGCTCCTAGCGCACTGGACCCTCTGGCTTCAGAGCTGTGCAACTATGAGAGCCGATCTGGCTTTCAGAAGAAATTTGCCCACTGTGGATTATTTGGGGATCCTCACTTAAGGACCTTTAAAGATGAGTTCCAGACATGTAAAGTCAAGGGAGCTTGGCCACTAATAGACAATCAGTACCTGTCAGTCCAGGTCACCAACGTCCCGGTTGTTCTGGGATCCAGTGCCACTGCTACCAGCAAGGTAACAAACCACTTAAAAAAAAAATCAACACCATCCTGAAATTCCCCACCCTTCCTTTTAGCTTCTCTTAGGCCAGCATCTGCTACCCCCTTGTGGTCATCAAAGGAAGTGAATTTCAGAGCATGTACATAGGAAACAAGTCTCTTAGGGGTAGCTGTGTTAGCTTGTATCCGCAAAAATGAGGAGTCCTGTGACACTTTAAAACAGCCTTTCCTAGATTGAGGCTTAAAATTATGTGTGTTTGTTCTGTATCTGTTCCTTGAGGAGGTCTATCCTGTTACCATGGCATTCTGTACCTACAGGACTGCATGAGAGGTTTGCATGGTGTCCTCACACCGCACCTGCCTCCATAGCAGGTCTATACATACGGCAGGTTTGCAATCACCTCAACCCCCTGAGCGGTCACAAATCCAGACTTTTTCCAGGCCTTCAGACAAGCCTGGATTCACTTCAGGGTTTTAAGCAAGGGACAGGAATGGGGAAAGTGCATCTGTTTCCAGTGGAATTTGGGTTTGAGATCTCTAGGGTTTACCAGGTAGAGAAGAGAGGCAGCACATCTGTTGAATGCCTGCAAACTGAAGCTAAGGATTTGGGTGACTCCCTGTAGCTCCAAACTCTGTGCAGTCAAGGACTTTTAGGAAGGAAATCTTTTCTTCCAGCCATGATGCACGGGCAGGAGCCGGGCAGCTTTGGCAATATTCCAGGTGGAAGATTAAAAATTTATGTTTAAAAGTCCCATCCTCCTGCTCCCCTGCTATAGAAAGACAGTCAGGGACCTACTGGAAGGAGAAGGGATTGTGTTTTGCTCATGTTTCTTAGTAAGGATGTTAACATTTGGTTAAATCATAGACTACTAGGACTGGAAGGGACCTCGAGAGGTCATCGAATCCAGTCCCCTGCCCTCATGGCAGGACCCAGCACTGCCTAGACCATCTCTGATAGACATTTATCTAACCTACTCTTAAATATCTCCAGAGAAATGGCTTCATTACCACTTGAATGGCTCTCACAGGTTGCTAATAGCTCTGGCACAGACTTGGTCACTTTTAAGATAACTAGCTCCTCTCTGGAGCAAGCAGAGCCACAGACCAGAGATAGGAAGAGGCAGATGGGTGGCCATTAAGACCCAGGGGTGCCCCACATTTTCAGGTGCCCTATGCAACATATGGGTAAGGATGGGTTTGCCCAGGTGGCAGGAATCCTGCCTTCTTTTCTGTCTTGAGCAGAGCATGCACACTGTACACGCTCTCCCAGGGACAGCCTCCTGGAGCACGTTACTCCAACACTGTCACCCTTTGCAGGTAGTGGGGCCTGCTAGGAGCTCTGAGATGTGAGGTCACGAGCATCCTGCTGGCTCTGAAGGGGTGGCTCGTGCACGGGTGTTCCAAACCAGGCAGCACTGAACATAAGAACGGCTGCACTGGGTCAGACCAAAGGTCCATCCAGCCCAGTAGCCTGTCTGCCAACAGTGGCCAGCACCAGGTGCCCTGGAGAGGGTGGATCGAAGACAATGATCAAGTGATTTGTCTCCTGCCATCTCTCTC